CAAGTTTATGATGGTTTCAGAATAGTGTATTCTATACCCGTGACAGATTTAATCTCAATAAAATTTGTCCCGCACCTACCTTGTTGTCATCCTAACTTTAAGAAAATACTTAAAAAAAATAAATTTGACTAATTAATTAAATTAATAAATTGATACCAATAAAAATAAGTTTGATATTGTTAATAATATATTATAAATTTAATTAACTAATAAAAAATTTTCTTTTAAACTTTTTTTTAAAATATTTAAATATCAACTAACCATACTAAGTTTTCGTTAAAAAAATAATTAAAAAAAAGAACATTTGAAATAAATAAGAAATATAGATGAAATTATAATATAGTTAATTTTGTTTTAAGAGAATTAGATAGGAGTAAAATTAGTAATTTTCTTTCTTAAAATAAATATTTATATGTATATATAATGTATACATACTGTGTGGGAGACGATATCACCCATAAGCCTGCTAACAATTGCGGAAGCGATCACAATCTTTGGATTAGCAGATACCCAATCAAGAATTTCCTTTGTTGCAATATCTCCCATTGCCACAAACGTAGAGGTTATAAACATTGGGTAACAACATGAAATTAATGCGGCCTCCATACAATCTTCCGTGGGCGGGGTGTAATTTTGATTATACCACCTTGCTTCAGTTATATAGACTTGGACTTGCTCCTTAATCTACTCATTAATTAAATTTCATATATGTAAAAAAAAAAAAAGTAAACAAGTTACGAAAAGGAAACAAAAAATCAAGGTCAGATATCTATCACCTGCATATTTTTTATGCTTGAATTTCAATTTTATTGACCCTTCTTTGAGCAAATAAGAAAAAAAGATTAATTGGAAGTATGAAAGTCATACCTTTTGTTTTATATACTCAACTCGATATGCACTTCCTCTCTTAGTCATCTCTTGCTCCACTTCTTCATAAAAGTCTAAAAGAGTCCGGTAGACAAATTTTATGTATTTTGGAAGCTCATCTAAGTTTTCAGTATCCCACCTGAAAGGTCAATTACAAAGAACGAAATATCATTTTATGCTACATATGACAATGTTATATTTCATATATAACCAATATTAGAATTTTATACTATAAATATATGTGGGTAGGAATTTTTACAAACCTCTTAATCATATCTGTAAGAATTTCAAGCTCTTCCAGTACACCATATGCATCATATACATCATCTAAAAGTATTGCTATGGAAATCATTTTGGCCATTGTTTTTCTTACATAGGTATATTGAGGTTCAAAACATATTCCCAAAAGCCAAAAATAACTTTCTGGCAATCTGTGTCTTGCAAAAGGTGCATTAGTTGTAATGTCTAATTCATTCCACCATCTATTAGATAAAAAAAAAAAAAATTATATAAAAAAATATTTTTTTCAAAAAATCAAACATAAAATTACACTAGTTATAAATAAAAATGCATAAATAATTATCAATATATAAATTTAGATTTACCTTGTGAGTTCACTGAGCTCTTTCTTATATAAAGATTGTAAAAAATTAAAATCTAACTTAGCGAAGTTCAATAATGTTTCATTATGTGAAGGATTTTGTTGGTAGATGGAAATGTATCTCTTCGCCTCAAGCCTGGATACAGCCTTGCGAATTGGTCGTTTTAGAGCCTTTGCTACTTGTTCAGCAAGATGGTTACTTAAACTAGCATTCTTCGAGGCCAACTCAAGATGAGTGGTAGTGAAAATCAACGCTTCCTCTAATATGTCTTCTCCATGTACTAGCAAATGGGAAGCTTCATACAGTTCTAACATTCCGACAATTTTGGTAGTCAAGGATTTTTCGAAGTCTCCATTTTCGTTCGTAAATTTATTGAACACTCCTGTTCAATTCAACATAATTAATTATTACACAAAATAATTTAATTTTCAACAAAAATGATCATACTAATGCGTGTACATATACAAGAAATCTTCAATTTTTAATGAAAAAATAAGAAATTGTATAAACAAATTGAGTAAAAGAACAAAATTAGTTTTTTTTTTTTCAAAATGCAAATGAAACTACGTATGAACCAAAGTATAAAAGTTAGGTACCAGAAGAAATGTAAATGTAATATGAACCAAAGAATATAAATTACACTATGTGAACATAATAAATTAAACCGATTTCTAAAAACTATAAGATAGCATAAAAGAAATTAATTTATTATTTATGTTATATTTAACTCAAGAGATATTAATCTTATAAAAATTATTATGACAAGTTTGCTTCTTTACATAACCAGAGAAAATAGAAGTTTCCTTGTATATAAATAAATAAATAAATAAATAAAATTACGAGAAACATACCGCTTGAAATTCTATAACCTTGTTGTCTGAGTAATCGAAATTGAAGAGAAATGATATAAAGATCGTCATCATGATCAACATGATTATCAAGTTTGGTTGTCTCGTAAATTTGCTTCAAGATTTGATCAATCTGGCTTTCAAAATGGTATGATATACCCAGTTGCTGAAGTGCATCAATGAAGATAAGTTTCTCATGCAAAGGCTTGTCAACAATAGTCATTACTGTCTGCTTCACTTCTTCCTTCAATTTGTTATATTTTATTTCTCCATCGTGTTCCTTAATTAAATTAATTGAATTCAAAGAAAAAATAAAAATATTAGAAGCAGAGAAAATAGTTAAATGTGATGATAAAATAGAAATTGACAAATAGAATTAAAAAAAAAGTAATTTAAAAAAAAAACATAATTAATAAAGTCAACTATAAAGTTCAAAAAATCTTTCCTTAAATAAATATAATCATATATATATATATTGATTAAGACTCGAAGTCTAAAACTTATCACAATTAAGTTCTTAATTTTTTTTATTATAATTTCATTTCTAATTTTTTAAATTTATTTTAAATACTCAAATTTTTCATTTCTTAACCAAAAAAAAAAGTTGAATTTAGTCCGGTTATATTTGAACGATTTAATTAATTAATTAATTAGCGATCAAAGTTTTTTTTTTGGAGTCATTCTTTAAAATGTCTAAATATGATCTAATTAGCTTCAGTTTTTGTTAATAAAAAAAAAACTGAATATCTAAAATAAATAAAAAAATATCTGAAATTAATTATATGTATATATATATACACATATACATGTATATGAAAAATGTAGTATTACATGTGTATAATGCCTATATGTAGTATACGCAATGCCCATATGTATATATATATTATATATATAGACACACACAGCTATAAGTAGCAAATACAAAATAATTTACCAGAAGTGGGGCGGAATCATACGAGAGAAATCGATTGCCCCAGCGGCTGGGTTGATAATTTCCAGAGGGACGTTTTTGCTCAGCTGGTTTGGTCATGATTTGAGCTTCACCTGAGGAAACTTGAGCAAGAGACACGTTTCCTAGATATTATATGGGTGTGTATGTATTGTTGCTTGTTTTGTGAAGTGATTCTTGATTTGGTTACCTGAGGGACATTTATAGGCACAAGGAGACATACTCAAATGAAATAATCCAATATATATATATATATATATATATATATATATTACAAGTGGTGGAGTGGACGGACGGTACATCAATATATATGTATAGTATTATAATATAATATATTGACCATACCGTATACGTACAAAGTACTTGATGGATGGATATATTAAAAAATTAGGGCAATTAATGACTGACGGATGTAGAGTGAGCAGTTCGATAATGAAAGCTGGTGGTGATCAATTCACCAACCCATTTTCCCACGCATGACGTGTAATAACTGAAAAAGGGAAAAGAAAAAAAAAAGAAAATTTTGTTTGAAGAAACGAAGCCGTTTTGAAGAGGGAAGAACGACGTCGTTTTGGGAGGGGGAGAACGATATCGTTTTGGGTAAGCTGGTAGGATATGAATGGGGGTCGGGAAGCAAAGGAAATAGAGGAAAAAAAAAACAAGAGAAAAGTAGGGAAGGAAGAGAGCGGGAAGGAGGAAGGAAGAGAGGGAAGAAGGTTCCAGAAGAGAGAGAGGGGAGTTGGAGCAGAGAGGAGCGAGAAGGGAGAGAGAAGAGAGCCGCGGACGACGAACGATGCGATCAACAAGAGGAAGGAAAGTGGAAATAGAAGGTACGGTAAAAACTTTGGTTGCGTAGGTATTGGATGAGTTGTGATGCTATTTGCAGGTTGCCGAGACCAGGGAGTCCGTAGGTAGCTGGGCGGAGCTGAGAGGTGGAGTGTAGGGCGGAATAGCGGAGACGTTCGCAGAGGAGGCCGTGAGAAGGAGAGGATGGCGTCGTTGGGGCGTACAGGAGATCTATGAGAGAGAGGGAGAAGGTTGTGTGCGGTGAGTGTGAGCACCATGGAAGGTCACTGAGAGGAAGAGGGAGTGAGCAGTTTGGCGTGTGTGGGGAAATCATTGATGATGAAGCGAGTCGTGTGCAGGAGCGGGGGTGCGGAGAGAGTTGCGAGCGGAATGAGCAGGAAGAACGAATTCGGTGAGTGTCCGGTGAGAGGGGTGAGTGTGGGGAGTGTGACAGTGTGAGTTCGGATTGTGCGAGGGTGAGAGGGACGTGCGTGGTGAGTGGGACGGTGTGAGTTCGGACTGTGTGAGGGAGGGGACTATGGACTAGAAATTGACATGTATGAAAAGTTTCGGGTGAGGGAAGAGGCTTATGGAACCGTAGGGAGAGGTTGGTTTAGCGAGGGATAAGAACATAATTGGTGGAGATTGGGATGGCATAAGAGGGGACTATAGAGTATGGTTTAGGGCGAGAGAGTAGGGACGCGTTGGTAGGGGTATAATGGGAGTGTGGTGAGGGGAGATGGTTTGGTATAGTTACTATAAATTTAAAGGTTGGCGAGGGAATATCGCCGGCGTGTGCGAGAAGTCTTGGTGTGCGTGTGGCCTAATAAGGTCGAGAGGTAGTGGAGGGAGCATGAGTCGCTGATGTTGGTGACGTGCGAGAACGGATTGTGTGTGTGTATGGCCTGTTGGGGTCGAGGTGTGGACGGGTTGTGTGTGTGCGTGGCCTATTGGGGTCGAGGTGTGGACAGATGGTGTGTGTGTGTGTGGCCTATTGTGGTCGAGGTGTGGGGTAGTGAACATGAGTCGCCGATGTTGG